GGTAAATGAGCAGAGCCAAGGAATACCAATAGTGCAGGCCCAGACAGCCCAGGTGCTGACCCCAACCATCAACCCAATAACTGAAGATGCCCTAGCCCAGAAAGGAGAAGAGGAGAGGCCAAGGCCCGAGAAAAAAAGGAAACCCGAACAAAGGAATCCAAGCAACTTCCCTCTGCCCCAGCAGGACCCAACTACTAACCTGTCTTTTGATGCTCTTTCTTTTGCGACAGGGGACAATAGGAAGACTTACCAGAGGAGGAGGAATCTGATCAGGAGGAGGAACTTGACAGACATCGCAGCAGAGGTGACTCAGTCCGGAGAAGGAGAATCAGCCACTCCGAGGGCGTCGGCGGCAAGCCTCAAGCCGCCAAATTTTGAATGAGGATCATCAGCTGGAACTGTAGGGGATTTGGCCAATCCCTTACAAGGAGCTACTGCGGCCGTCTCTGCCGGCGGTTTGGCCCTTCAATCCTCTTTTTGATGGAGACTAAGAAGGATGAAAATTTTATGGAAAGTAAAAGAAGAGCTTTGAGGTTTGATCATGGGGAATATGTTAGCCCAGAAAGAGAAGGAAGCGGCCTTGCTGTGTGGTGGAATGATGATGTGGAAGTTGAAGTTTTAGATAGCTGTAAATCCTTTTTGGATATTAGGATCAGTCAGAATGGGGTGATGTTCTTTTGTACTTTGATCCATGCTCCTGCCACGGCTGCAGAGAGAAGGATGCTGTGGGAAAGAATCACGAATCTTAGGGAGGCTCAGAACGAGCCTTGGCTTATTGTAGGTGATCTGAATGTGGCTCTTATGCCGTGTGAAAAACAGGGGCGATGCCCCATTCGTAATGAAAATGTGATCCCTTTCAAGTATTTCATGGACAGCAATGGATTAATTGATCTCGGGTTCTCGGGAGAGATCTTCACTTGGTCAAACAACCAGCAGGGAGACGATTTGATCAGGGAAAGACTGGATAGAGCCCTCTGTAATGCGAGCTGGCTCAGATGCTTCGAGCAAGCTAGAGTCTTCCATGAAGACTTCGTGGAGTCTGATCATTGCCCAATTCGGGTGGATCTTCACCTCCACCAGCCCTCTGCTAATACTCCATTCCGGTTCGATAAGAGGTGGAAGGAGAACAATGAATGTCAACAGATCATCAATGACAAATGGGGCTCTGGGGACACTGTACAAGGGATTCTTAATGATGTACGTAGAAGCATTGTGAGCTGGGCCAAACTGGACAGGGTACAGAACCAGAAGAGAGAACAGGAAATCAGAATGAGACTGCAGGAACTACAGGGTCCTATCAGGACACAGGCAATGGTGGATGAGGAAAGGGACTTATCGCTGGAACTTGATAAATGGTGGACTTCGGAAGAAGCCTTTTGGGCTCAGAGGTCGAGGAATGGATGGCTACGGGAAGGGGACCAGAACACAGGGTTTTTCCATGCCTCTACTATCAGAAGAAAACACCGTAACAGAATCATTAAACTGAAGAATGCAGAAGGAATTTGGATTGATAACCCTGCGGGGATTGATGACCACGCGAATGATTTCTATAAAAAGCTCTTTCAGAGCAGAAGTGGTTCTTTTGAAGCCAATTTGTTAGCAGGGTTTCCAGCCTTGGTCTCAGAAGAGGCGAATCTTCATCTAACAGCAGAAGTCACTAAAGAGGAGATACGCAAGGCCGTTTTCCAGCTCGGGCCAAATAAGGCCCCAGGCCCTGATGGTTTCCCTGGTCACTTCTTTCGTACATACTGGCCCGTTCTCGGCGATCCCCTCTGCAAGGAGATCATCGATTTTTTCAGAACTGGAGTCATTTCTGAGGGGTGGAATGATACCTATATCTCCCTCATTCCCAAGGTGGAACAGCCCGAGTTGATTAGCCAATTCAGGCCGATCAGTTTGTGCAATTTTCGGTACAAAGTGATCACGAAGATCATGACCTCTAGATTACAACCGTGGCTACCAACTCTGGTTAATGAATTACAGTCTGCCTTCACAGGGGGAAGACAAATTCAAGACAACATCATTATAGTACATGAAGTGCTCAACAATTTCAAGAAGAACAAGACGAAGACCTACAAAGACATGATGATGAAAATTGACATGAGGAAGGCTTACGACCTGGTTGAATGGGATTCTCTCATCTTCCTCCTCAAAGCCTATGGATTCAGTGACACCTGGTGTGGATGGGTCCGAGCTTGCATCTCAACAGTTAAGTTTAAGCTTTTGCTTAATGGGAATCCATCATCCGAATTCGCACCATCCCGTGGCATCCGCCAGGGGGACCCTCTGTCCCCCCTACTCTTTATTTTGATGTCTAATGCCTTGTCTTTCTTGATTGACAAGGCTACTCAGGGACAACTAATCAAAGGAATCAAACTCAACAGGGAGTGTCCGACCCTCACCCACTGTCTCTTTGCAGACGACACTGTTATTTTTGGGGAAGCAACACAGAGGGAAGCGGATCATATTCTGAACATTCTTAATGATTATGGATCGCTGACGGGTCAGGAGGTCAACCGAGAGAAATCATCGATTTTTTTCAGTGCTAATGTCCCGCTATCTGAGCAGATCTCCATTTTTCAGAGCACGGGATTTGCGGCGGACCAGTGCCACTCCAAATATCTGGGAGTCCCCACTGAATGGGGCCGGTCAAAGAAGGAGACATTCCAGTTCCTCCTTAAACGAATGGAAGCAAAAGGGGAATCATGGAAGAGCCTACTCCTCTCCCCGGGCGGCAAGGAGGTTCTCCTGAAGGCAGTATTCCAAGCTGTGCCTTCCTTTATCATGTGTCTCTTTTTGCTCCCTAGATCGATGACCAAGAGAATGGATTCCATGCTTCGAAACTTCTTCTGGAGCGGAAAGATGTCGAAAAAAACTATACACTGGAGAGCAGCCCACGTCCTGTATGCCCCTAAGGAGGAGGGTGGTCTGAATTTTAGACCTTTCAGCACGATCAACCTGGCCCTACTGGCTAAACAGGCATGGAGAGCCCTTACCAACCCAGAGGCCTTGTGGGTGAAGGTTCTGAAAAGCATATACTACCCCAAAGAGGATTTCTTGGCCGCCAAGAAAGGGGGAAAAGCCTCCTGGATATGGTCTAGTCTCTGTGAAGCGAAAAAATGGATGAAGCAGGGAATCATAAGGGTGATTGGCAATGGTAAGAAGACAAGGATGTTCCAAGACCCATGGAGGTTTGACAGGCCAGGCCGATTGCTTGATTTCGACTGGCCTGACGAAACCATGGTTGACAATTGGATTGATGGTATCAATCGAGCTTGGAGATTCGACCTGCTGGCAGGGTACCTCAGCCCTATGGACCTCAAACTAGTGGCTGCTACACCTATCGGTCCAGAAACACTGGATGATATCTGGGCTTGGAGATACACGGATAGTGGAGATTTTACAGTCAAATCAGCCTATCTTGCTTTCCACAATAGTCAGCGAAGGGAGCAGGACTACCATGAGACTGATGCTAATAGTAAGGATAGATGGAAATGGCTGTGGAGTCTCTCCCTGCCTCCAAAACTGAAGTTCTTTATCTGGAAGTGCACCAGAAGGGCACTGGCAACGAAGGAGAACCTCTTCAAGCGTAAGTGCTCCCCATCAAAAGCATGCCCTATCTGTGCAGACCCAACGGAATCTATACACCATACTCTTTTCTCCTGCCCTCATGCGGTTGCTGGATGGTATCAGGGATGGCCTGACATGGCCGTCCCCCCACTCTCCACCCCCATCTTAGAGTGGCTCTTCTCTCTTCAAACCAGGTACTCCATGAACATTATACAGAAGGTCATCTTCCTGTTATGGCAGATATGGAAGACGAGGAATGAGTTTATTTTCAGGGGAAAAGCACCCTGGCCACCAGCAACCAATTTTAGGGCCACTCTGGAAGCACAACAATGGGAAGCCTGCCCTAAAATACCATCATCACTTTCAACCCCCACTCAGCCACCCACATCCCCTGATCATCCTGCTCCACCGCCATGTATTCATCAATTTGAAATACACTGTGATGGTTCTTTCTTCGAAGAATCTCAAGAGGCGGCGTATGGCATTGTTCTCATGAATGACCATGGACAAGTATGTGACGGGATAGCTGAGCCTCTGCACTGCTTTTCACCGATTGAAGCTGAAGCGAAAGCACTCATGGAAGGTACGGTTATGGCCTCTAGGCTTAACAGCCCGTGTTTGGTCCGAACTGACTGCCTCACTCTCATCAATGCACTTCAAGGAAACCAGAGTCTCTGGCCATGGCGTGCATCGGCGTGGATCGGGACCATTAAAAAGACTTTGGAGGAGTACCCATGGATCAGCATCTCACATATCAAAAGGGTCAACAACGCTAAGGCCAATTGGGTAGCGAGGTCCCGAGCAAAAAATACTCTACCCAGCCAGTGGGTTCAGATCCTTGATGTTATCTCGCACCTTTTGTAACCTTACTGACTTCAGCTTCTTTTATGGAAAAGCACTGCCTTTTGTCAAAAAAAAAAAAAAAAAAAAAAAAAAACAGAATCCTAGCAAGTTCTTCCTCAGAACACATCTACCAGCTGTAGCAGCAACAGCCAAAACCACCTCATCCCAACTTCTGTGTAGAGGCAAATCAAACCCTCGCAGAATTTCCAAATTCCTTAGTAGATAATGGTTGGAAAGTGTTTCAAGTGGCTGTAATTGCACCAACAGAACATGTTTGATTTTAGTGATAGTTATATTGATGCATTATGGTTAACATTCTTTTATTTGTGTGATAGCTAATGTAATATTTAGATAAGTGATATTACTTTTGAGTGAAACATCATTTTTACCCTTTAATTTTAATATAAAAAGGCAACATACATAAAAAGTTAGAGACATAATTGGAAAAAAAAATCAACAATCACAGCTTAAACATGATATTTAACTATCGCTCATTTTGAGTTATAGTTTGTCACATCAAACAAACAATGATTATTATATAATTAATATTATTATGCAACAATGCATTGTTAACAATACCAACATCATAACAATCTCAACAAAACTATCATCTAAACCAAACCTGAAACCACAGAATACATTCCAGCGTAGAGCCCAAGAAATCGTACCACTCCACCAAGATAAGTGCAAAAAGGAGACTTGTGTTCTTATTATGTGAGAAAAATCTAACATTTATAGTCTTCAATAACACCTTTAACAGCAAACAATCAGCTACTGAAACTGAAAAGAACGAAGTGCTAGTCTCACTCAATACTTATCGTGTCAAGCAACTTATGACACGCTTCACTCACCTCTACATTCTCCATCTTTAATCGGCGACGCATCATGTTGGTCTTCTTTCCAGCAGCTGCATAAGTTCTTATCAATGATTCCAACACTTCTGCTCCTAAATTCTCAACAGCCTTCTTCAGAATATCTGTAAAAGCTTCTGCACCATCGACATCTCTTTCTTGCTCAAAATGTGCCATCAAAGATCTCACAACCTCATTAGAAGGGACCCATTTCTGTCCGTCTCCTTTACCAAAAGCTATTGCATTGGCTAAACACTCAACTGCCGGCTTGATGTCTCCATTTCTCATATGATAATCCGAAAATATTTCCCATGTCTTAGCATTTGGCTCGCTGCCTCTTCTTTTGGCCCTGTTCTTCAATTCTTCGGCCCTCTCTAGCTGACCCTCGTTAATATAAGCTCTAATGAGAACATTTGCAACCCTAATATCATACGTTGAGCAACCAACTTCCCATTCCCTGAAACATTTCTCTGCACCTGGCAAATCTTTCAAGCTAACCAGCACTTGAATCATATTCAGATAGCTTATGTTAGCTGTTTTAGGAAACGCCACCCTCAACGAACGCCAGACTCGGTAAACTTCAGGCAAGTTCCCTGTCCTTCCATACAATGTGATCAGGAACTGGAAAGGAGAGAGATTTTTTGGATCTTTTAGCTTCTCCAATTCTTTCAGTGCCTTTTCTGCCTTGTCAACCAACCTAGCATCAACATAAATGGACGCTAAGTTGCTATAAGTAGTCCAATCTGCAGCAATTCTACCATCCCTCTTCATTTCATCAATAACTCTCTCAACACCGGATATATCACGGGCAGCTGCCAGAGCCCTCATCCAGATATTGTATGTAAAAGAATCAGGCATCACGCTATCGGCCTTCATTTCCTGTATTACAGATGGAATCTTCTCATGCTGACTGGTCTTCTCATAAAGGGTCATGAGGCTGTTGTAAGACATGGAAGTTAACCCAAAATTGAGCTCCTTCATCTTTTGAAGAAGAGCTTCTGCTTCTTCAGCCATCGAGGCTTTGCAATAGCAGTTGAGAAGAGCCCCATATGTCAACTGGCTCTTTGATGTTTCAGGAAGATCAATAAAATAATCTTCTGCAGCACGAATACCGCGAGCTTTGGCGAGTAGATCAAGATGGATAGCTTGATCACTGACTGTCTTGTTCATACCTCTCCTTGACATAGCTTCTGATAACTGTGTGCATCAAAAGTACACATTTCAATCCTGTAACTAATGCCCATAAAAACATAACTATGAAATTCTGCATTTGTCAAACATAGCAGTATAATAATAGCATCCAGAAAGTTTCCAGCTTCTCAGCACTGCGACTATGGGACCACAAAACTATGTTCAATACACTGCACAGCATGCACTAAAATGTCAAAACTAATTCATGGAAGCAACTGTTTTGAATAATACGATTGAAGGAGCATGTAACATCCATTGGCTTGATTTGGAGAGATTAAGAGTTCTTCTATTATTCTCAGCATCTAACAACTCCTGGAGACTACTAATCACTAGCAACACCAGAAGTCACGAAAATAGCTACTTCGCAAGAACCCGAAAAACATAAAGCGCAATGGACAACACAAGATCAACCAAAATAAAATTTCCAGTCGAAACGTAAGTTCGCCAGTCCGAACCTTTAGAGCAGGATAATAGAGCTTCCGGTCGCGAAACTTCTTGATTGTGTCTCCAACTTCCCATTTGTAAACGCGCTTGGAGCTCTTGAGGAACTTATTCAACTGTTCCCTGACGCTCACCTCCTCGCCGCCTTGTTGGAACAGCTTGACGTACAGAGCTTCCTCTAAGTACTTCTTCGATCTCTTCGCCACGTTCTTCGTGCGCCCGGAAAGCTGTGGCATCGCCATTTCTGGATCTGTATTTCCTTCCGCTTTGCCTTCTTCCTAATGTGATCTCATTCAGAGAAAGCAGAGTTGTTGGCGTAAAACCCTAAAAAGGTTTCAGGCTCGACTTCCTTCAGATCGGGGCGCGTCTCGTCTCGTCTCGTAACCCCGCCACCGTTAAGCTGATCAGTGAGACTGTGGGCCGCAATCAGGGCCCATTGAGTTGGGCCTTACCTTCGGCTCCATATATGGACTTAGTTAGGGGTGATAGTGGGTTTGGTTGTGGTTTAACCGAGTCAGTTTTGTAGTTAACAGGTAACCAACAAGTGCTTGGATGACCAAAATGAAGTTGATAATAAGCCCATAGAATAGTTAGAAGGAGCTAGAGGGTTTGGATTAGGGATGGCAATGGGTCGGGTCGGGGACGGATAGTGCATATCTGTTACCCTACCCAAAGTAGTTCGGGTTTTACCCATACCCATACCCACATAAGAAACAGGTAGAAAATCCAAACCGTGCCCATACCCGTTCGGGTTTCGGGTATCCACGGTTATCCATGGGTAATGGTTTCTCTTTATAACTTCAACCAATATATTAATATTCACACTTATTCTCACGTTACGTAAGACGAAAAGTACGACAATTATTCACTAGAATGAACAAAATTAAAAAAACAACACAATTCCAAAAGATATTATATTTATATGGTAAACATAAAATATGTTAGACAAAAATATTGATTATTTCTAGACAAAATACATATGCATGTGTATAATCGTGCGGGTTCGGGTTGGATATTGAGAAAACCATGCCCACCCATTACCCGCAATATTCGGGTTCGGGTTTTACCCGTACCCACTAAAAGTCCTTCGGGTTCGGATTTTACCCTACCGAATTATGTCGGATTCGGACGGATATCCACGGTTGCGGATATTTTTGTCATCCCTAGTTTGGATTCTGTCACCGGATGCAGGTAATTTGTGGTAAAAAAAATAATAAACCCCTATCTCATGTATGCTTATTGAAGGAATCAAACTCACCGGTTTAATTAAGATGACATTAGAATATTTTGTCACTACACTCAAACTTATTGTTATTTAATTGCCATAAAGTTAACTTATTATGTTTTAAATGAAATCCCCAGTCGAGACAATTTGTATTATGAATAAAAGGACACACCAGTTTCACTTTCTGGATCGCCACTAGGTTTACCCTATGAAAATTTGGATGTCACTAATTATGGATCAGGGTGGACGCCACGGTAATCCTATGTTGTCAAAGAATTGAGTTAAATTTCACTTTTTGCAATTTCATACTCTTTTTTGTCTTGTTTGAGCGAGGGTGTATGTATGATAGCCGAAACCGGGTGGCTAGGATTATGATACAGTAGTGACCTATGTTTACTTTCCGTAAATAATATTTTCACCCTCCACAGAGCCTTAGATTGCTAAAAATTTATTCGTAGTATAAAACTATCACCACCTTACCTTCTAGATTTAAGAACACTAAAGCACACTTAGAACCTTTTTATGAAAATAAGAAGACGAAATGTTTTTGCTTTTTCTCGGTCCTTTCACCATCCAAGCTATTCTATTTATATAAGAAGATAGAGAGGATTTGAAGAATTGCAATCCTTCATTTTGGGTGGTTATATCATTCCAAACATTGCATCCATTCATCAGAATATGCAATTCTTAAAAAAAAAACTTTTACTATCGAAGGAATATGAGATATAATCTAAATTATTTATTTGATATTGATTGAGTTGGAACGTAAGTCCAAATTCAACGAAAAAAAGTTAATTTGCAAGACGGCGGAAAGTTTGGAAGGAGATGAAAGCAGTACATGCAAGTTTGGCAATGAACTTTTCCCTTTAAGGCTACTTGAACTCAGTAATAACTGCCAAAGGTTCGTAGAAATATGTGGAAATGGAATAGAGGAAACATTGTTGCTTTGGTTAACTTGTTTAAATTACAACATGGGGAGGGCAACAAAATTGATTAGTACTGAGTACTGACTATGAGCCTGAGGTGCCAGCAGTCAAACAGAGCCACAAAAGGCTCCCTTTTAATTTTCCGGAACTCCTATCACTTCATATCCTTCTTCCATTCCTTCTGCATTAAAATTTCCATCACTAACTTTCCTATTTTAGATTGTCCTACTTAACAAAAGTTTTGTAGGTTATCCACACAAAACAAAAACATGGGATGAAATTGGAGTTGAGTGCTTCCAAACATAGAAGAAGTGGTTGTTCTTACCTGAAGAGGAAGAATCCCTAAGGGTGCGTTTGGATAAGTGTATTTTAAATGTAAGGTATTTGAAATACTAGCATTTGAAATGGATGTATTTGAAGTATTAGCATTTGAAATACATGTAATTCAAATTCATTGTTTGGATACTCATTTGTAATTTGTTTGTATTTTTGTATTTATGATTTTCAATTTCAATTTTTAATTTTCTGGTCACTTACTACAAATTTTGGTAAATTACAGTTTGGTACCCAAAATTATTTTTTCTTACAATTTAGTACCTAAACTTTTAAAATTTTACAAAAAGGTCCTGAAATTTTGATGGTAAAATTACAATTTGGTACCTTTATATGTTTTGCCTCACACTATAGTACCTAAACTTTTCATATTTTACAAATAGGTCCATTCTTTTTTTAGGAGGTATTTCAAATCACTAGTTGTTGAAATGTATTTGAAGTTGACAAAAAATACACTAGACATGTATTTGGAAATCACCCCATGAATTTGACACAAATCCAAATACCAAATGTAATTAATATCCAAACACATGATTTGGTATTTGAAAATCCAAATCACAAATACCAAATCCAAATCCTTGTATCCAAACGCACCCTAACACACTTTACAGGGCCAGCTCTTCAGAAATTACAAAGCACCGTTGAAGGAGCCCGGGAATGAAACAAAACCAAAGAATGAAAGATTGGGAGTGAAAAATATACAATTGCTTCTTGATGCAACTGCACATCAAATGCAGTCTAATGTTCGACTCGCTCTTTAGAGGGATGATTCTCATTAAATTCCAGAGCGATGTTACAGGAACCACGAAATGAAACAAATCCAAAAGAGTTAAATATTTGGAAGGTAGAGAAAAAAAAACTAGTCGTGTTAGGCAAACTGAAGGAAGGTGTAATTAGATGGTGGAAAAATAAGATTTGAAAAAGGAAACAAAGGCGGAGCAAGAAACAGACGACTAAACAACTGCAAGCATTGACTTAAAAATTACCTGCGGGAATCCAGAGCACCCGACAAATAGGGATCGTTGGAACATTAATAACCCAATATAGTGATAACAAGAATTGAATAACCCACAGAAAATCAATCAAATTGCTCCAATTTTTCTTAGATTCTATGCAACTCTAATTTATCAATACTTGCCTTTTTATAATTAAAAAAATAGAATCCGCTACCGTTGTTAGAGAAAGACTTGCAACTGGAATTAAAATGTAAAGTTGGATGCGTTTGAAAATTTCGGCCTGCCAATTAGACGAAAAGTAGAATGAATGACATGGAGCAGATAATAGAAGTTGATTGAGATTAGAGAACATACCTAATCATATAGAAGTACCATTAAGATTTTGGTTTGGCAAGACCACTTCACTGTAATTGAGCGAGGGACTCTGTTTTTTTTTTTTTTTTTATAACGAGGAACACCCTCCACGGTCCCCACATTTTGTGGTGCCGTAGTCGGGCTAAACCCCGGGACCCCCGCCGGCGATCCGGGTGATAGCGGGATGCCTCCGAGAACACCATGATGGCGGTGAGGATCGAACCTGGGACCTTATGGTCACCAGTCCTCCTCCCTTACCACCAGGCTATGTGACCTTTGGCGAGCGAGGGACTCTGTTGCTTGGGCATGTGAAATAGGAAAATCGGTTAACAACAGAGAGTAGGACTGCCGCCTTTGGAATTTTGCGAGGCAAGACGGAAGTGTTGGGGTGGACATAGATAAAAAGAAAGTGAGAAGGGAAGCCAATCTTCGTGGCGGAACATAGATTTTGTCCACACATGAAGAAAATAAATAATGGAGGAAACAGGGGTGTTCAAATGGTTACCATGGTTATAACCAAACCAAATAAGGCTAAATTTCATTAACCATGGAATACAATATCATAACCAAACCGTCCAAACTAATACAACAACCAAATTAACCAAATCAAAGTTTAATTGGTTTGGTTAATTGGTTAACCAGATTAACCAATATAAAATCACATTATCATTGACGATGAAAATTTTCTGGTTAATGCAACAATTCGCAATTTATATAATGAATAAAACATAACAATCAACACGTAGTTATAGTTGACCATTAACAAAAATACATGCAACTAAGACAATTATCTTACGATTAGTATAGAAGTATTCACCTAACAAAAATTTATGACAATGTTATGGGTTAATGAATTGTTGTGTTTGTGTAAATTGACTTAGTCTCTTAGCAATTATCATAGGCTGGAAATGACCTTCTTTTCAAGTTTTCATCCATCATAATGTATGAAATTTATCTAAATTAGGCGTCCATATGTTGTGGTCTACATTTTACATATACAAATATACACTATATGAGCAATATTGAGCTTTATATTTTATGAGTCTAAAAGGGATGAACGTTAACTCTTGAGTGGTTATGCAAAGTATTAAGTATGTGTATATAATATATGTTAGATACATGACTAATTACTTAACTGGTTAATTTGGTTTGACTGGTTAGGAGTTTCTGAAACCAAACCAAACCACCTAAACCAAACAAGCTAAAAACTTTAACCAAACCAAACCAATTATCCAAATTAACCAAACCAAATTATCCAAATAGTACTGGTTAAAACGGTTACCATGGTAACCAAACCGTTTGAACACCCCTAGGAAACATGGTCGAAGAAGGGGAAAAGGAGTGTGTAACGTGGACAACCTACATTTTCAGTTTGGAGTACGTGGCATAGGGTAAAAACTCAAAGTGCTTTAACATATCTTAATAATAATAATATGCTTCATGGGAATAACAACACATTATATGCATTAATTACTCTCAACCCGTTGGTTGCGTCTAGGGGGATTGCATCAAGTGGAGAAAATGGGATGGGGAAGATTGCTAACTCATACTTAATGAAAAATTGGTTGTAATGGAAAAGTTTGTTAATTCAAAC